AAAAAAAAAAAAAAGAGACAGGGGCTTGCTGTGTTGCCCAGGCTGGGGTGCAGTGGCATAATCTTGGCTCACTGCAGCCTTGACCCCCTGGGCTCAAGCAGTCCTCCTGCGTCAACCTCCCGAATAGCTGGGACCACAGGCATGCACCACTGTGCCTGGCTCGTTTTTTAGTTTTTTGTAAAGATGGGGGTCTCACTATGTTGCCCAGGCTGGTCTGGAACTCCTGGGCTCAAGTGGCCCTCCCACCTCGGCCTCCCAAAGTTTGCTGGGATTGCAGGTGTGAGCCACCGTGCCCGGCCCCTCGATGTAGTTCTAAAACGAAAAACTCAGCCCCTCTCTGAGCTGGAAAGTGGCATCAAACAGCATAAAGTGGAGAGATTGTGGGGAGCTGTGTTTTAACCAACACGCAATGTGTCATGCAATCTCCCGCGCGTATCAAATGTCAGAAACGAAAATAGGGGAAACATTGAAAACCAGGCAGCGTTGGTGAATAAATCCCACACAAATGGACTAGGCTTTCCTCCCAAAGCGTGACGCACAGACGGCTCCCCTGACCTGAGGCCTCCTCCCCCATGGCCACCGCCTGCCCTGCTCACTGAAGGCCTCGCCTTCTCCCACCCGAAACCGTCAGCCCAGGCCTCGCCCTCTCCTGCTGTGGTCACAGGTCAGCATCCTTCCTGCAGCCCAGAGCCTGGAATACAGCAGGCGCCTAATACCGGCTGAGCAAACACCACTCACCCCAGCTGCTCAGACACGGGGGTCAGGCTCACTGCGGAATGCAGACCGGCCCCATCATGCCTTCTGGCCCTGAAGGGCGGGGCAGGTCCATGCCCTGCACCCTGGGACTCCCCGGGCAGGGCGGGTGCAGGAATGTTTGCCGAGTGAGTGGCCAGACGTTTATACAGCGGGATTTATAACCCACATCAGACGTCAACTCCAGGAGAAAGGGAGCTGTCCGCCCAGCCTCGAGCAGGTGCTGGGTCTTCTGGTGGGGTGGGGTGGGGATGAAGGCACGGCATCCTCTGCTCGTTCCTCCCCAGTGATTCACTGAAGCCAGCGGGTGGGGCCTGGGGTCCGGCTCTTGGGTTCAAGGCCACTGGGCCCACTCCCCTGCTGCCTGTGCCTCCGTGCCACCCCCCCTCCTTTTTTCTGAGACAGAGTCTTGCTCTGTCGCCCACGCTGGAGTGCAGTGGCGCGATCTCCGTTCACTGCAACCTCCGCCTCCCAGGTTCACGCTGTTCTCCTGCCTCAGCCTCCCGAGTAGCTGGGACTACAGGTGCCCGCCAGCACGCCCCGCTAATTTTTGTATTTTCAGTAGAGATGGGGTTTCACCGTGTCGGCCAAAAAAACACTGGCTCCACGGTGGCTCTCGTGGCCGGCATTCCCCCTGGAAAGTCCTTGGGGAGTGGCACTGCCCATCCGGGGGAAAAGCCCCAGGACGGAAGACGGCCCCAGCAAGGCCCCGCAGTGGTTAAGGATCTCGGTGTCCTGCGACTCCTCCTGCAACATCTTGGAACCGTTTTTGACTCCGGTTTTCGGGAGAGGGAGCTGAGACCCAGAGAGGAGAACCTGCTCATCTGAGGTCACACAGTGATGACACAGCAAGTGTCTGAAGCCAGTGTTCAGACTTTGCTCCCAATCACCTCCTCCTACAGGAAGCCCCCCGAGTTGCTCCTCCCAGCCCCACCCCGCACCCTGCTGATACCAGAATGAAACTGGGTTTATGGACCCTGGTGCCGCACCTCCCTCCTCATCAGCCAGTTGGCCTCCATCTGAGGGGCAAAGGTTCCCTTGCGGGCCGGGACTCAGGCACGGAGGCCATGCAGCAGGGAGGGGCGGTTCCTCTTTCCCATCCCTCAGGGTTGCAGTCAGCCCTGAGTCATCTCGGCTCCTTGGGCTCCTGGGCGGAGCTCCACGGCAGACGCTGGGCTGCGTCCCTGCCGGCCGCCCGGGATTCCAGGCTAGAACCTCGCCCCCACTCAAGGACCCAGGCCAAGTCCCCAGCCCCAGTCTGAGGCTGCCACCACCTGCACTCAGCCACCCCTCCTCCGTGTCCCCAAACCAGCCCCCGGCCCCACGGGGGGTGTTTACTGCCCAGATCCTTCCAGTCAGGGGCCCGGCAGGACGGATAAGCATCTCTCCAGAAGCTTCTGGAATTCCCAGAACCATACAGGGGTCCCTTTGACCTCTGACCATGGGGGTGCCAACTCGGCCCCTCCCTCGGAGGGTTCTGGGATTTGGGGTTCAAAAGCCCCAGCAGAGTTCAGGGACAAAGGCCTCTGCTCTCCCAGTGGGTGCCCTTGAGGCCCCAGAGCACCTGGCGGGGGGAGCAGAGGGAAGGCACTCCCGGGAGGCTCCAGGGGCGATGGCCTCTCTGGACCCCAAGTGCCCCCAGGTGAGCAGATCCCGCCCACAGACACACAACGCCCCCACGCCAAATGTGGGTCCAACCACCTCACACAGGACCCCCGCCCGGCCTGGCCCGGGGCGCCCCCAGGCTCACCCGCCGGCTTCTGGCTCCACAGCCTGCAGCCTCAGCTCTGGGGCCTGGATGGGCACAGAGGCCTCCCAGCTCCGCCCTGCCCGCCGGGTTGCCAGGGGACAGAGGCACCACCCAGGGAAGGCAGGTGTGCCCCCTCCCCCCAGCCCCACCTGGGCTCAGGAAACAAAGTCCAGAGAAGGAGGAGGGAGAAAGACGATACCAGTCTGGGCGAGGGCGGGTACCGTGCCCGCTGCCCGCTGCCCTTCCGCCCCCAGGGCCTCCACGCGGCCCCGAGGAGCCAGAACTCAGCCGAACCTCCCTTGGCTGCCTGGCTCTCCCGCCGCCTCTCAGCACCGCTCAGAGAGGGTCAGCAGGTGCCCAGGGTCACACAGCAGCTCAGCGGCGACAATGGCCTGTGTCTCCCGGAGGCTCCGGCCCAGCCCACCCCTTGGGGCAACTCCCCTAGACGACCGCCTCCTTCTTGCATAAACCAGGCTCGGCAGACTCTGGAGGCAGATTCTCGGTATGGTCTGGGTTCTGATCCCACCTGACCTCTCTTGGCCGTTTCCTCCTCTGGGACATGGAGGAACATCACGTCCAGGCTCCCTCACGGCTGCTGGGGGGAATTCCCCAGACCCCATCCACATAAAAATAAAAAACTGTACGAGGGGGCCGAGCGCGCTGACTCACGCCTGTAATCCCAGCACTTTGGGAGGCCGAGGCGGGTGGATCACATGAGGTCAGGAGTTCGAGACCAGCCTGGCCAACATGGTGAAACCCCGTCTCTACTAAAAATACAAAAATTAGCAGGGTGTGGTGCCAGGCGCCTGTA